CTGTACGCCTTCAACTGCGCAGCTCAAGATCTTTCACCGCTCTGCATCAGTTTCTTGGAAAAGTTAGCGAATGCGGTCATTCCGGACCCTCCAAGAACACATCAAATGATCATGCAGGGGGTCGGACATCGCTATGCTGGGAAGCTGGTCTACATCAACGATCCTGAGAAGGTGGGAGAGGCAGACATGAGCAAAGATTTCTTAGTGTATTGGAAAAACAGACTTTACCGACCTGAGATCTTTGCAGCAAGCTATGCCCAGAGCACGAAGCGACCACCGATTCTCGGATTCCACTCTGAATGGAAGACCGATGAGAAGGATCCCGATGAGCTTCTTCAGCTTTTGCTCGACTTCATCGCTGAGGACATAGCCTTCATCCCGAATGTCGACCTGCAACTTGGCAAAGAGACCAGGACCATGGTAGTTCCTCGAGCGAAGGCAGACTCAGCAACAGCGAAAGCCCTTGCGAGGGCTGCGCAGGATCAAGCACGTGCTCACGAAGACTGGCACCGGACTCAATGGTCATCTGCGTCTTCATCGTGGAATCGCGACCGGGACTGGAGCCAAGGAGGGTGGCAAGATCGCTCAAGCCAATGGCAGCGTGATGATCGCTGGAGCCGTGATTGGTGGAGCTCTCGCAATTGGTAGAAACATCCGCACGACGGGAGTCGTTGCCTTTGGATTCAAAATCGAAAAACAAACAAAAAGGAAACATCCAACAGGCTGCATGGCTCTCAAATGTGAGGGTGTTCTTCCTCCATCGCACCGCGGGAGCGGTTGCCGTTGATGATCGCTTCTGTGATGCACCGGGGGACCGGATGCCGAGCTTCGCTATAGCACCAGCATGGTAGAATTCGTATGTTGAAGGTCGAAGTACCTGTGACATTGCAAGTCCATGAGACGCACTTACTTTTGTAGTGCTGATTCGCCACGCGGGAGCGTGTGCCGACCGGTGATGCTTCTGCTTTCTGAAAGGCCAATCGTGCACTTACCGCTTGATGCGTCAAAAGATTGTGCTGTTTCTTCATGAGATGACTCAATACATGTATAGCTTCGCAGTACGAGTGAACACTAGCATGAACTTGACAGTGACTTTCGTGCCCTTTGAGGTCAATTATCCTCTCCATCTCAAAGGCAGGAACCGGTTTCGTCCGAATCGCACGTACCGGGGGACCGGATGCCTTCGTAGGTCCCAATTCACTGTACATAGTCTTCACTCCTCCCATTTTCGTTCAGCGGGGGGTGTAGTTTCACGCTAGTATGTTGACATCTTCGTCTCACTCGTACGTATTTGGCTCAAGGAAAACAGGTGCGACTAGGTGGCGCTTCTAGGTCGTTTTCCTGTAACTACAGTTTCCAATGGCTTCACTGCCTAGCGCGCCTTGAGGCTAATCCAGCAGGGCGGATAGTTTACCCCAGCATGAAGCAGGGCAGGCTTAAGTAGACATTGTCCACTCAACGGTGAAAGAATGGGTGCAATGTTGGGAGTTATATAGGTGAATCGAAACCTTGACCGGAAACACTGACGTTGAATCCTCGCAGGACAATTGAAATCGAACGAAGATGAAGCGGTGTCCGTTTTTGACCCATTGCCTCGACGCCACACAATGTCGAGGAGATGGCGAATGCGCCCAGTGAAGCCTCCCATGTTCCGCCAAATCTGTGGTGGAAAGGCCCTTGGATTTGTCCATGCTGCGGGTGGTGAGTGTGTGGTTGGCTGGGAAGAAACTGATCCCCGGGGGGCAGTGGCGCCCGAGGATGCGCGATTGGTGTTTACAGTTTACATGTGTTTACTTTTCTTCTCTAGATCCGGCTTTTGACGGATGACCTACACTATGACATAGTATGACTGTAGTCATACGGGGTTCATAGAACATGCAACCCCATTGACATGAAGCTGCTAGACCAGCCACTTCGTGCCACTTCCAAACTCTCTTCAAAACTTGGCCCTCAGCCGCTTACGACTTACTAGCTGCTACGTAGCCCCAGGCGGGGCTTGAGCTGGTCAGAATTGCTCAGAAATGGACCTGGTCACTCTCCCAGCATGCACTGTGGCAGACGGCGAGGTTCTCAGAGTGCACCCAGTGCGCCGAGCGAGCCGGTGGCCTGGGATGGGACCCAGGCACGGGAGAACACATGAGTTGAGAAGAGAGTGAGCGGCTCAGCCCAAAGCAACCAAAAAATGCTCTTTGAATCTCTTTGATGGTTCTTCTTTTTTCCTGCCGGTTATGGACAACTCGGGTCTTGGCAAGTCTTGGCGTTTTGAAAACATCGGCAACAGATTGCTCTCTAGAGTCTAAGTTCAACACACTCGCCAACGCTGGAGTCCAAATAGTTACTCCTTTCAATTCCGACTGTCCGCGGTAGGAGTCGACCTCCCTCATGACTCCGAGCTTAGCTGCAGTGGGACGAAAGGCAGGTGGTTGGTTGCTTACAAGATGTCAGTAAGAGGAGGAAATCGGAGGAAGATGCAAACGCACGGCAAATGCACTTGACTTATAGAGATGCATGGAGCATTTGTGGACCTATGCCGGACAGTGACAGTAGTTCAACATAGTGCAACATTTGTGGCTGGGCTGCTTGGTCTTTTCCAAGAAGAGACCTGAGATCAGCTTTCCCAACATGTTAGGACATGTGTGACTCTGGGTCATTGGGGCACCGTGGTGGAGGCGCCTCAGCCGAGGGAAGAGGTGCGACCACCACGAGGTGAGAGGTCACAAAGAAGGCCGGCAGACCGGGAAGAATGGGTGGGGACTTTGAGTCCAAATGCTGCATCATTTGGGAGCTATAGGTATAGGCTGAGAATCCTGCGATAACCTTAAAAGATTTGTGGGCAGTGGTGGAACTAGCGATGGCCTCCAACCTACTAGCCATGGCCCCCAACCTACTAGCGGTGGCCTCCAACCTACTAGCCATGGCCTCCAATCTACTAGCGATGGCC